GGCAGTTAACATCGTAAATCAGCAGCGAGGTTGAGAGCCGAGGACGGATGTTGGGTATATTTGAACCTAAGAGGTTTCTGGCATTAATGCCATCGGCATCGTGGCCGCTATGACATTGGCATCGTGGCCGTCATAGGTACCTGGATGCATCGCGAACTGGCTTCATTTTTTCATTTTTTCACTCATTCTTTGTACCAGATGTACTTAACGCTTTTCCAATAAACGCGGGCTGCTGGCTCCAATTTAATCCTATAATATATGTGATATTATGTTGTGTGGTTTGTGGTGAAGACTGTTTAATTAGGAAATAAGGTACATATTATTGTGCATTAAGAACTATGTCAGGTTGAACTACCTAAAAGGGTAATAAAAATAATACATGAGGCATAAAAAACAGCTGGGGTATTCTGGAGTATTAAATATTTGCTCTATTGATAAAGACTTTAGGATGTTAGTGAATACAGCTGAAAGTAGTTGGACAGGAGATGGTGTCTTATGTCTATGTTTTGGCTTACCTTGTAAGGTAAAATACTGGGTTATCTTTAATCAAGCCAGGCCTTCTCAAGAGAGATGCATCCTTTTATCAGTTACTTTCTAGTATTAGGCTGAGATGGTTTGAGTGTAAGAGTGGCCAAGCCTGGTGATGAAGCAGTTCCACTTACCTGCTGTAGACCCTTACAAATGCATTCATCCCTTCTTAAAAGTTCTTATTCTATCCTCCTTAATCCTTCTGGATTAAATCTATGATCGTCTTAGAATCTTTTTCCATTTTGACATGTATTTTTACAGTTTTAGATGCAGAGTAGAATAAAGAAAATTAAACCCCTCACCATTTAATCATTTTTGAAAAAATGCAACAAAAGTTATCTGCAAGGGTCTTTCTTTCCAGCATCTTCACTGATGAGGATTATATACTTTCCAGGTAAACAGATGTTGGAACATATAGTGTGGTTGGGTGGGGGTCTATCAGAGATCTTTTGATTTATTATACAGATGTATACATGAAGGTTTTTTCAATGTGGGAGGAGGGAACGGGGTATTTGGATTTCTTGTACATTGGTTTTAGAGCCCTTATACCTCATTATAATGAGTTCTCAATTAGATCAGAAAGTTTTGAATTCACTTTACTTTGACTATTTATTCATGCATTATGCCCTATGTTAATAGACCCCATACTTCATGAAGATGGAGTCACAGGTATGGTTGTCTCTCTGTCGGACCCACTATGTGGTTTGCATTAATGTGAAGTATAAACATTGGTGTAATCGCAGAACCAGACAGGATGTTGCTATATAAGCCTGATTTTCAAGCGAAGAATATCGGAAACAGGATGAATGATATCTCAAGAAAATGCCAAACATTTTTTAGACTTCTGGTAGTTTATATGTACAGAATGTATATGTCAGATTTTAATTTATCTGGGTTATTTTCACAACATTTTCTTAATCAAGTGATCAACCAATGATTTATCAATATTATTTATCAAATATCTTCTTCTCATTCATTACTTATCTTCTTTAATTAAAAAAACAGGTTTGTCAAAGTCAGAAATTCCTTTTTGAGAAATGATATTTAGTATGTGAAATTGGTTTCTTTCATCATTCAAACCGAAATGTTATTTTAGTTGCCATTCAAACAAATGAGTTCATCAGACTAATGGTCTTGACATGTAAAGATTGTGGGAAGATTGCATTGTCTTAGGCCATTAGAAGTAGATGCTTTGTTTTATGTCCTGGCACAAAAATCCAAATAATGCAAGGGTACAAGAAAAATAAACACTTACCTTATATTTGCAAATGCAATTAACGCCTGTCGGCTACCAGATTAACCTAATATTTTATGACCAGCTCATTTCATTATGAATGAAATAGTGGCAGGTACTATTCATATTTAAATGAGTTTCCAGTAAAATTAAGTACGTTTGGCTTGGCTTCATTTTGGCTTCATAATCGGCTTCATATTGGCTTCATAATCAGTTTCATATTAATGATTTTTAGATGTTTTGTTAAAAATAGGCCATGAGATGTAAAACAATGAATCTACTTCTTATGGCCTTATTATCAATTTCTTTAAAGTCATATATCAGCTAAGCAATGATGCTGCTTGACCCATCCTTGGTCCAAGGGTATTTCACTTCTTTCCTTGAAAAAGTAATGAAGGATAACTTGACCTCATATGCCAAGGATCTTCTTAGTCATCCAATCAGAAAAATACATATTTACCCTCAACCCTTGATACCCCTTTAATTTCTGGTTTAATGCTGAAAATGCTGTAATATCAGGTTTAACTTTCGGTGGTCATTTTCCTAGATAGTACGAGTACAAGCATAGTACGTGTATCTGTATACAATTATCCAAGATGGTTGTTCAATAACCCATATATTACTCTGTGACTGTTACCTAGTATGTTTAGACTTTTGCAAGGTAAGTATGGATGTAATAGTCGTTATGAAGTCAAGTATTCTCAGAGCCTAATCACGCATCGTCTGAGATCCCAAAGGCCAGTTTTAGAAAAATTAATTCTAACGCTATTGTCTCTCTATGAATAATATATAGCCTGCGTAAGTAAAGAACACTGTTGGATTAACCTTTGTGATTATTGGATTGCTCCTATATATTCCCATATTGATGCAATAAGAAATCGTGCTTTGACTTAAAGGACGGACTTTTGAACTTACTGAGAAGATCATCTCTTTTCCAACTAAAATTAGGGATATGTAACAAAAAGAAATTGAGAATAAAGGGATGTTTACCACATAAAAACACAAAAAACAACTGAGGTTATCATATATGTGTACATGCTTAATATGTGTCATTCTCTCCTTCTTTTTGTCCTTAGACTTACTTGGTTATTGGCAACCATATCTCATTAATTATACCTGTTAAGACTAAATATTTTTGACTGGATTAATAAAACAAAAATATCTCTTGCATATTCTGTGAAAATGTCATTAGAATGAGTATATTCTTAGTTTGAAAAATCAAAATTAGAGAAGTATGAGAACTTCTACCCTTTGCATTCGTTCGACTTCATTTCTTAAAAGAGAGCTTCGTCTTCACTCTTTCACAATAAATCTCTGATCTCGCTGAGCCAATCAGAGTTCGTCGTTGAAATATGGACGACTTTATATATGGTAATTTTCTTTGACATCTCCGCATTCAATTAATGATCACGTATTTAGCACGCGTTCCTTCCACTTTGCTGATTGGTTGAGAAAGGTTCAGTGTGGTAGATTTGAAATTATTTATTACCCAGGCTGTCACAGGCACCAATTTTCGGGGCGGAGCTGCTAAACTGTAATATTCTCTATACTAGGCAGAGGGTGGTTATAACTTCTTGATCATCCCTCATTTAATACAGCATACAAAAGTATAAAGGCAATTCTAAACATATCTGAAACCTAGGTCCATATGAAACAGGGTTAGCAGAAAATGTGAATTTCATACTGATTCTTCAAATCGCAACATGTCCCTATAAATCTCGATCCGATAAATCTCATTAACTGAACCGTTCAGAGCAAAGTAAATTGAATATTAAATCCTGCCATTACGGCTGATAGCAAAATTACTGCTATCAAAAATAATATGGCTATTATAGAAAATTGTGTTGGTCGATATTCTTTTGGCAGTTTGCTGATGTAATTATGGCTTAATAGTGTATTTTATTCCTTTGTTCTTGATATTTGAAATATCGGTGTAATAGATTATACCTAATCGGAAATTGGATTTAGCCTGGTGTTTTCCTGTGATGAGCGACAGGGAGGGAGTGAACTTCCCAGGCATTATTGGTAGCCATTTTTTGTTCTGTATAGGAAATTAAAACCATAATGTTAACTTATAGATATCAAATACGTCTAATGTTTTCTTCTGCCCATAGCACAGGGACTATAAGGACCTCATCATACTGTTACCTTGCTCATTATATCATCAGCTCAATGAATGGGCTCACTCTCTGGTGCGTGCAACCCCTCACTTAAGCTATGCTATCGTAAACAAGATGACATCATAAGTCATACCTGAGCACAATGTGGATATATCAAAAATACTGCAACCAAAAAGGATGAAATTATTCATAATCTTTTATTTGCACCACATAATTACTTTTATTGGTAACAGCATAATATTTTATAACCAAAGGGTATTGTTCTATTTTACATAATATTGATAATGGTTTTAATAATGCATCGCAATGAAATCAATTAGTTATCGAAATACATCTAGAAAATCAGAATATTATGGTAAAAAACTTGTGATTTCAACAGAGTGAATAAATGTTAATACAGGCATTTATCTGGAACAATATCACTTATATCATTCTGATATACATCTTTCTGTTTCACTAGAAATGTGGCTGAGAAGAATTGAGATGTTAAGGTTTATTATGATGAAGATTTATAGCTTTAATCATGATACCATGTGCTAAGTATGCTATAAAGATCACAATCATGCAGATCTACCTTAATCATTTGGCTGCAACCTGTGAATGTAAAACATTATTTTGTATTATACTGGTGAAAAGGGCATATTACAAGTCAATAATATGACTAAATATGACTTACATCTCATGACTTTTGAGGGATATGATTTTTTATTCATGAGTGGAACATAGCGCAAGTGCATACCAAAATTATCTTGTATTGTTATCCCATACATTTAGAATCTGTAGGAGAAATAAAGTTTTTCATAACATAATCATTATAATCTTTACATTTGAATTTTAATTATAGTAATGATAAAATTTATTCAGTTTCAGATCTTTGGCTATTAATAACATATTGTTATAGTCTCCAACCTGTTTTGTGGATCGCATACTCAGCAGTTGGTGTTCAGTATTTGATACATGTAACAAATGGCATGAGGTGACATTTTGCATGTTTTATGATGCCTTGTGAATGTTTTTCTCCTAAATGTAGCCATGGAAATATCTTTGAGTTCATTTATTTTCTAAAAGGATATTATGTCACAAGAGAGACTTTAACAATTATGTTTTTGTACTTACAGAGCAATCTGATGTCAGAGAGGTGCTTTTAGAAGGAAGGAGGCATGAATTCTCTTTCTCATTTGAACTGCCCATTGAGTAAGTTAAGTTTTTGATCATTTTGGGTCATTGTTCAGTCAACTTTTTAATCTTTTGTATATGAATTGTTAACATATGAGTATGTGAAAAACTTTGATAAATATTATAAATTAATTGATTAATTGATTGACTACACAAGTAAATATTTGAGTAAATTCATACTTCAGTAAATAGTGTCAACATTTTAGTAAACATAAATTCATCTGAATAAATACTGTACCGGTATACCATAAAATACATAAAATGGTTGACATTTTCATGTTGAACCACATTGCACATATAACATAATTTTGATTTGTTGTCAATGATATTGTCTATTAACTTTTTGAACTAATATACAATATATAAGCACAAATGCCAAAAGGGAAGGGTGACTAAAAACTTTAAAGAAACCCAACAAGAAAAGCAAACTGTAAGTGTAAATCTGTCATAAGAAAAGTAGACCCTACATATCCCAAAACCATGATCTAACGTGAAAAGAAACAATGTCTAACATCCCCCTCCCCCCTAGAGACAACAAAAATGATAGAGGTAACACTTATGTATTTTTTTTACTTTAGAGGTATATCCACATCATTTGAGGGTAAACATGGCAGTGTTAGATACTGGCTGAAGGCAGAGATGGACAAACCATGGTCTTTCAACCATAAAACCAAGAAGGCATTCACAGTCATCAGCCCCATTGACATTAACAAACCAGAGTATCAGGTTAGCTTTGAATTCTTATAACCACTTGTGGTGGAGACATTGTTATAACCACTTGTGGTGGAGACATCGTTATAGTCTCTGTGGACAATATTCAGTGGTCGGTGTCTGTATCAAATGGCAGGTAGTGACATTTTGTATGTTAATGCCTTGTTTAACATTGTTTTATTTATTTTAAAAAAGATATTTACATAATGGTGACAAAGATACCTCCAGAGATTTAACAAATGTAGCCTCTAAGTGAAGCTTTTGTGGCCTTAGAAGTTTGAACGTGGTAACTTTATGGTGTGAGATTAGTCATATGGGAAAATATCGAGGATAATCACCATGGTTGAGACATCATGAAAAGAATCGATGATCTAAAACCAACTTAGTGTATTCAGTTCAACATTTTGATATACTTAATTGAATTAAAGCACCACTTTCTGACCACAAGGCTCTTCTTTCTAATTTAGTGACATTTTAATTCATTAAATGAAATAAAGCTGTTCTAATTGAACTCTGGTGGCTTACTTTATTGATTTGTATATCTGAGTCTATCATGCAGGTGGGACAGAGGATCATTACAGTAAAGCAATTTGAATCCTTGATCTGATTGATATATTGACTGGGCCATTTGCAGCTTACAATTGACATGCAAACATTTTTTTCCTTAATGTCACCTTTAATTACCTTACCAAAGTGAGTCAGTCCATTCTTAATTTTGATATTTTACTTTCTAAATTCCTATGTAATATGAAGTACAATACAGTTTGATGATCTGCTATGAAAGCAGTGAAGGACCGATCTTGAAGGATGTGATGAAGGATGATTGAGTCTTTATGGATGCACTATTGAATCTAGGATCTATGGAGGAAAGATATCTGTATTTAATTCATGTGCATGGCTTCATGACTACATTGTTTTATGATTGTCAGTTTAGTCTAGCTCCTCCTAGCTCTAAGTCCTTGTCAACTGTATGAGAAGGTGTTAAGTCAAGGAGATGGGGGGGTGTCATAGAGGCTTGTAGCTTGACTAATGTCAGTTGTAAAGTCCATATTAACTTCATGACTTCATGACTACATTGTTTTATGCCTGGGTCACATTTGCTCCGATCCATCTGCTGGGCGTCTGGCCGATTGAGCGTTTTGCTCAATATTGTATTCAATTTTGAACAAAATACTCAATCGGCCAGGCGCCGTAGTGAAAATCGGAGCAAATGTGACCAAGGCATTACCCATGCAAATCAGAGGAATCATATTTCAACCAATTGTTGAATAGTGTACCTCTGCTACTATTGTGATGATGTTAAACTGGATAATAATCCTACCAGTCAAACCTACAAACAAATCATTTAGAATTTTAGGGGAATTATTTGACTTTGAAACATGAATGTTTAATATGACTCCTGTATAAAGGTAGTGTTAAAGAAGGTTTTTATAATGTCATCATGCCATAATACATCTAGCCATTGGGACATGACACACCATAGATGACTAATCATTGCATATAATATGCTTGTTATACTTCATATTTAGAATGTAAAACCAATCAATCTGTCATTGCCCATCTCTTGTGTCTACTTAATATTAGAACATCAATACATCATTATGTAACATTTCGTACTTGCCATTTGGATATTATTTGCAAAAATATAAAATAACAAACTTTTTATTTGACGCGGACTGCCAACAGAAATCTCATTAATAAAATTACATCTTCCTTTTTGCGTGTATTCTATGAATCAGCCCTAGCAATGTTTGATTTCAGCTCTTTAAAAGAAAGCTTTATCAACATAAATGTACAAGCTCTTAAGCTCGGGCTATATTGTTTTTCATAAATTCTCTATTTCACGTTTTATTCCCTGTACAATTATACACCATGCATCAGCGAACTATGACATTTAAGAGGTCAGTAAATCATGATGAATTGTGGGATAACTTGTTTCTTACATGAATTATTATGTCAGGCGGCCTGCGTATACACAATAACTGCATTGCTGCATCAAGAACTAATTATCCCTACAATAGTAGACTCTTGCTTGTTATTTAGTATTTGTTCATTGATGAATCATACATTTAGTATATAAAATATTGCAATTTGAAAAGTGATTTTCATTAAATCATACAAAGGCAGTATGATAAATGTGTCATGTTTCCTGGAAATTAAACTGCTTAACTTACAAGAAGCCAAAGGTTTACCGAAGCCACCCTTATACAAATTTACTGGCTGTCACAGCCCGCTGTCACAGCGCTCTCACAGCCCGCTGTCACAGCGCTCTTGCAGCACGCTGTCACAGCGCTCTCGCAGCCCGCTGTCACAGCGCTCTCGCAGCCCGCTGTCACAGCGCTCTCACAGCCCGCTGTCACAGCGCTGCGACAGCGCTCTCACAGCGCTGTGACAGCGCTCTCAAAGCGCTGTGACAGCCCATCGGAATGTACCATGCAAATGAGGTTGCGACAGCGCTGTCACAGCATTGCCATATATGGCATTGATTATGATATCCTTCATACACATAAATCTTAATTACCCATAGCCTATAAATTTAAATATCTTTAAAACGTTTCAAATTATAAATTTCAAATTCAGCATGGAAAAAGTAGATTCTAGGCTTGTAATAGTAGTAATAGGTTATCAAAATTAAAAAATAACTGTTACATCTTACCAGTCACACTGTTAAACCTGGCCAGTCACTATTTTTGCTGCATACATACCAATATTAATATGAATCCCATTAACGAAATTGATAACTCTATTTGACTAGTTGACTAAACTTTAATAAGAAACGATTTTAAAAATATGGGTTGAGATTGGAGTGCCTGCTAAGGGGAGCAATTATTAGCTATTTCTTTTGTTTCCAACCTTTATTATTACCAGTTATTACCACCTTGCCGGGCCAGTTCTAGGGGTTTTAGTGCTAGTTTAGAAGGCATTCATTTTACTATATCGACCTGAGAAATGTGTGACGTCATAGTGGTGGTCCATATGGACCGGTCTAGAATATATTCTGGACCGGCAATTTTTCCCCGGGAAATTAGATATCGTTCAATGCGTAAGATTTTCTTGCTATTTCAGCCCTGGTCGTCAATGATGGTAATAATACTAATAACGTCATTTCTGCGAGCAATATAGTGAAATATTGGACCTTGGGCCTTCGGCCCAATATTTCACTATATTGCCCTTAGAAATGACATTATTGTACTATTATTTGACAAGTTTCATAAACAATTACTCTCTTTGACTTGATCGACTTAGCTAACATTTGCCAATCCAACTGCTGCCAACTCATTTATATTCATATTTAAATGAACTGGCCTTGAAATTAGCTGGAGTTTGTTTTCCTTATGACTGGCAGGAGAGGGAGGAGGGGTGAACCAACTGTGAATTTTTCTGAAAGGTGACCCCCTCATTGGCTTCAGGCCCAACATGTTTTTTTCTTATGTCTGGATGGGTTATAAATTCTGCAACAATTTTTGGTCTTTTCCTTTGGCATTTTTGCATACATATTTAAAGTCATTTAACCCATTCAACTTATCAAATGTGAACCAACCTGGAATTTTCTGAAATTACAAAGTTCATCTGCAAGGCTTTATATGGACTATATACATTGATATTTCAGACTTCTAACTTGCACAAAATTCATTTCATTTGATCCTTTTCCTTAGATCACTAAAACATTCCAAAGGTATCTATAAATAATCAGTAGTACAATACCTTACATGTGCTTTATAAATCAGTAATGATATGATGGCCATTTCAGCATAATTCCTTTGCTTTTTCCTCCTACAAACTTCCTGCTCTAACTGATTTTCAGTTTGAATTTTTTAACCCACAATGCATTGGTACTTCCTGCTGTGAGAGGGCTGTGAGAGCGCTGTGAGAGCGCTGCCACAAACTCTGGCTAAGATAGCATGTTGCTGTAATTGATCCAGCCACTTAATTACTGTCACATCCCTCTCGCAGCGATGGATGGAAATAGAATGCTGTGACAGCGCTCTCACAGCGTTCTCGCAGCGTATGGATGTGAGAGCATTGTCGCTGAAATTGATCCAGCCATCAGTTTAAGCCTATATGCTGTCACAGCGCTGCGACAGCGCTGTGGCAGCGCTGTCACAGCTTTTATTTTCCGTAAGGGCAACACTAATGTATCTCAAAATTCAAATACTGTATACAAATTTGCATCCAAAATATGAATGTACTTTTCTATATGATATTGTACTTTATACTTTGATTGCTCATCTTTCTAGGGTTGATTGAAGCACAGAAAAAAGTGATTCAGACTTCTATAAGTTAAATATAAGACTCATCTAGAAGCCTTAATGTTTATTTTTCAAAATTTAAGATTTATTTTAATTGGAGCACAGTGTTTTTTCTCAATGTTTTGTCTTGGTTACTGCATATTATGATCTGATTTGGATGAGGTGACTAAGATAAAGTGAGATAGAAGGGACGTTCCAAAGAAAGGGTTTCAGAAAGGAAGGAGGTACCATACTTTATAGTTCACACAAGTAATAAACATGTGAGCCAATAGAAAGACCAGTATTAAGTGGGAGAAATAGTATGTACCAGGCCTTGGGTCTCTTTTCTGGGAGTAGGATGTTTTCCCTTAGATAGACAAAATATCATGACAAGAGCCAAGATTTTAATCATGACAAATGAAGTGTTGTCAGGTTTTAAGGATTCAAGAACTAAATTGTAGATTAAGAATACGACTAGGATAGAAATTATGAACACTTGAATAATTTATAGGTACCAGTAATCTTAAACTTGTGACACTAATAATAATAGAGATAAATATGTAAACAATTGCCAAAAGGGGAGAGAATTACAAAACAAAACACAAAAAAAACATTTAAGAGTACAACTAGTTACAAGGAAAACACACCCCAATATCCCAAACTATGATTAAGAGAGAACAGAGAAATCTACTGATCCAGAAAAGTATAGTTTTATAGTAGCAATATGTTATTTTTGCTTACACAGTATGTGCGTTTGTTCTTGATATGCTCTCTTCATTCCATTAA